CTCAACCAATACTGCATGGCTGCAACCTCACCCCAACCAAGCACCAAGCTCAACAAGCTCAACAAAGAAACAAAAGCTCACATGTTGACATCAGCAACCCAACACTGATACATGAATACATTTGGTTGGTATAGCACTATGTTGCATGCCCATGCATCTAGACTCCATGCCCTCTTGGCTCTCTTTGCATCAGGCATTCTAGGATCACTTTTCTTTGTGACTTTCAAAGTCAATGGATCATGAGCAAGGATAGGGGCTGGATTGACCAAAATGGTAACCTCAATCTCTCCAAGCTCAGTCTTGAAGGTCAGAGTCTTCTCTTCCAAGTTGCCATCCTCAGCCCCTGTAGCACAAGCCCAATATGGTGCAAAGGTTCCTTTGATGGTTTGATCAGGATCTTCAGCTTTGGGAAGCTTGATAGGTTTCATGGCACTGATCCAAAAGCATGTCGCTTGAAATTTGCACTTTCCAAGCCTGACATTTGCAAGGTTGGGCTCTTTCAAGGACAGTGATGATGGTGCTTCTGGGCATGGAATGAGCTTCAAGCTCTTGGCCTTCATGTCCTTCTTGGCAAACACCACCATCTTGGGTTGCTTTTGAACAAGGATATCACCAACATCTACATCTTCTGTGTTGTACACCTCCATGAGGGCCAGAAAGCACTGACATTTCACTATCTCCTGGGAATTGGGTGATGGAAACAAGTTGCTGAGTTCATCATCACATAGAAGTACTGGTGGCTTGGACTTGGTACCCTTCACCTTTTCAACCAGTTCCTCAGCACTCATTTTGACAGTGGTCTTCTTGGATGGCTCCAACAGTGGGTAGAAGACAAACACAGCCTCAGTTGATGAAATACTCTCTAAAGTCCACACCCTGTTGTCAAAGTCTTTGAGGGTGTAGTGGCTGCCTGGCTCTAAGCCCAACTTTAGCTTGGCAATGAACATGCTGTCTTTCCCCTCATCCAATGAAATTGGAGTTTGTGAGGTGGTCTGTTTTTTGGCAGCTGAGGGTGAACTGGCACTTCCCAATTCTGCATGGCCCTTGGTCAACTCTTGGTTGAAGAGGTCTGAAATGTCTTTCAAGGAGTACTTCTTTCCTTCAGAGCCAGACTTCTCCTTCTTGAAGATCATTAAAGTGGCCCTGATTGCTGCAATGCCAAACACCTTGTAGACATCAGCTTTCTTCTTACCACTAGCAATTTGGGACAAAGCACTGTTCCATGCCATTTCCAAAAATGCCTCTACCTCAAGGATCATGGTGAGATTCTTGGGGGACTTGAGGCCAGTGATGTCACTCTTTGTCACTAGCTTAGCCACCCCATCAGTGCACTTACCCACAACCACATTGGTGACAATAATGGCACTTCTGATCATGGTGAAGAACTTGGACTTGGAAAGGTTCACCTCTGTCAAGGTATTCATGCACTCTTCACCAATGGTTGCATTCTCACCAAATGCCTTGCCCATGTGCGCCAAAAAGTCAACAAGACTTCCATCAGCTCCACCTGCAAATACCCACAAAAATGAACAGCCATGAATGAACACTCATGAACAAACTTTAACCATGAAAACCTCATGAACCAATGAATGCATGTGAGTAGTAACATGAGCATTCATGAGCAATGAGTGCCACTGGTGCAACACTCATGAAGAGTGCACGCATGCAATACAACATCAATAATTGCATGCCTCCATGCCTTTGCACATACCTCCCCACCATAGGTGCATAGCTCTTGATGGGGCCACCAAGGCAAAGTCCATCAGCAATTGCAGCAAAGTCATGCTTTCCATCTTTTGAACTTACATTCTTGACATGACTCACCACAGCTGACATGAGCTGGATTTCATTCTGTGCCTCATATGTGGCATTGGTGCTGTTACATGCAGCTTCAATCAATGCTGGGAGTTGGGGGAACTTGTCCTCCACAATGGACAAAATGATTGTCCAAGTCCACCCTGTCTGGACCATTTTCTGCAAAGAAGGATCCTTTGCAAACAGGTGGCTTCCCAAATGACCATCTTGGCTGGCCAACTTAGCTTGGGGGGTCCTGCAAGAGTTCTTGATGGATTTCATGAACTGAGTAGTGTGCCCTTTGCTGACTGTCATGAACCGCTCTGCACCAGAAGGAATGGCAAGGAGCCCTTCACTTGCAAGTGCAAGGTCCTTGGTAAACTTGATTTGTTCATCCTTCTTTGCTGCTGACATCTCAAAAGCAACAGACCCTGTCAGCTGGGAAAGGTCTGCACCCATGGCGCAAATCATAGACCCCTTGGCATGACAATTCCATGCATTTATGCCAAACCCTCCCCTGTTTGAGGGGTGCACCACAAACAGCTCTGGTGGCAGCTCTTGCTTGTATGCCAATCCATTTGACAAGAGTATTTTCTCAATTTGTGCCCATTTGTTGAGCAGCCCCAACCCTGAGAAGATGATGTTCTCCACATCCTCGATGACATCGCTGCTGATCATGGTGAAATCAGCAGAGCAAAACACAAATGCTACTTCAAACTCTGGTTTGTGCAAGAAACACTGCAATCAAATGGTTGACATGTCACACATGCATGCAATGCAGTGACAATGAGGTTTGGTGGGCAGCAATGAAACAATGTACATGAACCTCACAAGTGTTGAGCAGGCCATGATATGACATGAGCAGCCTTGCATATGCCAAATACAGGTGGTTGCAAGTGACAATTCAAACCACATGACAATTAAGTGGTTGCAAGTGTTCTCAATGCTGCATGATGCACATGGGTTACTACACAAAATGCATGTCAAAAGGCATTGCTGAAGCCTCAATAGGCCAAACAGAAACACATAACAATGACAAAACCCGTGCATGAAATGTTGCATGAATTATTGACCCAGGGCTTAAGGCATGCTTCTTTTCACACATCATACATCAGCTCATTACCAATCCATGGACATCAAGTCCAATATATGTACAATGACACCAGCTTGATACCTGGTGAAGCCCAGTTGATCTTCCAATCCTCTGGCAATGGTGATCCTGAACACTGTCGCAAATGGTTTCCCACACAAACTACTTATACATACTTTCATGATATGTTAAAACTTGATTTTAAAAACTCTTCTATATGCACAGTCCAAACCACCTTTCTTCCCAAAGGTTCTCATATTTGGCTGAGAGCCACCATGTACCATGCCAGAAGCCAATGCTAAAGCGAGGTTGTCCTTCATGCCACCACTGCATTTTCATATGTGCTGGGAAGAGGGCAAGCAATGCCTCTTCAGATCTCAAGGGCCAATACTGCATGCTGGCAGACATTGGATCTGCATTGCCCATGGCTGAGTCCATGACAAACAATGACAAAGTGAAAGGCAGCTGCAACAAATCTTGAGCACAGAATCTCACATGAACATGAACATTAACACATGTCAACC